TGGGACAGCGACCGGGACCATATGATAGACCAATAGGAGGAAGAGGGGGTTATTATGGAGCTGGGCGTGGAAGTATGTATGACAGAATGCGACGAGGAGGTGATGGATATGATGGTGGTATGTGTATCTAATGAAGGTTCTATTGTCATTTTCTTAATGTTTCTGACATTTTGTCAAGAAATACAGAAATGGCAGTAATTTCAGTACCTATAGGTTTTAAAACCTGTTCATGGAAGTATAGATTCCCAAGGCCAGCTATGGTACTTGATTGATGCACATATTGATACTTAGAAAACTTACATAGAAATTAAAATGAAGTTGGCATAGGCATCAGTTTACATGTTATATCTGAATTTGTTCTTTGGAAGTTTTTAATTTCCATTAAGTATTCACTGCTTTTTTTTAATATGCACTAAGTAGTTGGATTGCAAACTCAAAAAACTGGGATAACATATGAGAAAATGTTTTTGTCAACAAAATTTGTCTCTTGAAATGGTGTATTTCTCCTTAAAATTACACAGGTTATGGAGGTTTTGATGACTATGGTGGCTATAATAATTATGGCTATGGAAATGATGGCTTTGATGACAGAATGAGAGATGGCAGAGGTAAAGTTTCATTCTGAAATAAGTTATAATTGTTAATACTTGCTTTTACACTTAGTGATAATATAGGTGGCTGAAAAAAGTTAACTGAGTCATATTTCAGTGCATTCTTTCAAAGAGCTTTACTCGTAATATGTACATTCCTTTGTACATGTATCCATAATGGATATAATCCTGGTGAATTTTATTTTTAGGTATGGGAGGACATGGCTATGGTGGAGCTGGTGATGCAAGTTCAGGTTTTCATGGTGGTCATTTCGTACATATGAGAGGGTTGCCTTTTCGAGCAACGGAAAATGACATTGCTAATGTAAGTAATTTAGTAATAGTGCTTTTATACTTGATACCAGTTTTGAAGGATTAACACTCCCTCATCCTTTATAATTGAGCAGTGTCAGTCCATGTTGGGGATATAGCGCAGTGTTAGACCACCTGCCTAGTATGTAGGTCTTCTGTTCTGTCCCCTACCCTGTCTTGAGTAGTTGATATTTTCATGCCCATTTTGTGTTTACATAAGATAAATCATTAAAGAGCTATTTTTATGGGTCAAGAATAAAGGTGCAAGGCATGGTTGTGCATACCTATAGTCCCAGCTGTTTGGGAGACTGAAGCAGGATTGAAATTTTGGGATCCTGTTTCCAAAAGATGAGATGTAGCTCGCTGTCCCATGGGCTCAATCCCCAGTACCGTTCTGGGACAGGAAATAAGTAAGCAAAGACTGAGCATAGAGTAGTGGTGGCTAGAAGATTGCAGATTTTGAAAGAGCAAATTATGTAACAAATTTCAGTGGTTTGGCTTTCCAGGCTAGGTAGGTAGATGCTATTGATTTGGCTGTCACTGATTTGGATGAAAACAGTTCATTTCAGATTGACAGGGAGATAATTAGATTTAAGCCTATGGATCGATGTAGTCACACACACACTCATGCTTTACCCATTGAGTAATTGAGATGTGGTGGCTTGTAAAGGCAAAAGTACCATCTGGCTAATAAAGTAAAAGTTTATTCTAGAACAGGGATGTGTAACTAGTAATATGGCACAAGACAGTTCTTCCTTGCTCGTAGCTGCCCAGGCAAGGCAAAAGATTGGTTGCCCACAGGACTTCTTTGGGGCAATTCTGTGAATTGAATCAGGGCCTTCAGGGTAATCATCTACCCGACATTCCTTTTTTAATTTGAGACAGGGTCTTGGTAATTTGCCCAGGCTGGGCTCAAACTTAGGATCCTTAGTCTCATTGGTGAGATTACAGGTGTGCAGCACTACCCACAGCTGAGAATACCTGTCTTTTTTATTGGTGGTGTCGTGTATATTGCTAAATAAGTACTCTACCACTGAGGTACCTCATGCTCCTGATTTTTGTGTGTGTGGTAGTGGGGACTGAACCCAGGATGCTAGGCAAGCGCTCTACCACTCGACCATACCTCCCTTTTTGAGACAGAGTCTATATCGCCCAGGTGACCTCAAATCTGCAAAACTGCCTCTGCCTTTTTCATTGGCATTATAGGCATGTACCACTATGTTCTGCCTAAAATAATGTCTTAAGTGTTAGGGGAGTAGGACTTTATTTATTAATGAAACAGGGTCTCACTATGCAGTCCAAGCAAGCCTTGAACTCATTATGTGGCCCTGGTTGGCTTAGAACTTGAGGATATCCTCCTGCCTCTGCTTTCCAAGTGCTAAGATTACAAGTGTGCACCACCATGCCTGGCCTGAAAATTTATTCTCATGGTAAGGTGTGAGGCTTTTTGTCTATTGGGTAGATTATTTTCTAGGTTTAATAGATAATCAGCACCCTAGAGCAGTGGAAGAACTTATTTTAATGGATGAAGAAAAATCAAGGTTTGTTACAGTAACTTTCAATAACTGGAAGAAAAAATAACATGTTTCCTTTTATTTAGTTCTTCTCACCACTAAATCCAATAAGAGTTCACATTGATATTGGAGCAGATGGAAGGGCAACAGGAGAAGCAGATGTAGAGTTTGTGACACATGACGATGCAGTAGCTGCCATGTCTAAAGATAAAAATAACATGCGTAAGTGGCATCTTCATTATGCTTCGGGAGCAGCACCCGGGATCGGATGTAGCTTTTGAACTGGACTACTGTCCCAGTTCTTGCTTGCTTTTTGAGACAGGGTCTCAAGTTGCCCAACCTAGGCCCAAACTTGTGATCCTGCTGCCTTTGGCCTCCCTGTGCTGGGATTATAGGCAGGGGCCACCACACTAGGCGTGGCGCTACGTTGGGTAGCTCGTTTATGGAGTAAATTTGTAATTTATTTCAATAAATATAAGAGGTCCTGGGATATATAATATAGGTCACTGAAATCATTTAGCAGCTACATGGACATTGTCTTTAGGTAATTTTTATATCTCGTAAGTGTTTGGAGTACTTGTTTAATATTAGCTCTTACTGATAAATCTGATCTGTCCTTTACTCTTAAAGAACATCGATACATTGAACTCTTCTTGAATTCTACTCCTGGAGGCGGCTCTGGAATGGGAGGTTCTGGCATGGGAGGTTACGGCAGAGATGGAATGGGTATGTAAAGTCTTTTTAAAAAGCAGCCTTAGCTACTTGGCAGTTATTTTCAAATGCTTTTTTTTTTTTTTTTTTTCTTGTAAAGATAATCAGGGAGGATATGGATCTGTTGGAAGGATGGGAATGGGGAACAATTACAGCGGAGGATATGGGACTCCCGATGGTTTAGGTGGCTATGGTAAGTGTCTCTGGTGTGTATTAGTCCAGCCTCCACATGTAGTACCCATAGTTAAAAGTACATGTTATTTCTAATATCTTGTACACGGGTATTTTATATATGGATGTCTCTTGGTCAGTGACTCATCTTTTTCTTCAGGCCGTGGTGGTGGAGGCAGTGGCGGTTACTATGGGCAAGGTGGCATGAGTGGCGGTGGATGGCGTGGGATGTACTGAAAGCAGAACACCACACAAGTTCTGACAGCAGCGTCTGGTCTACTAGACTTTCTTACAGATTTCTTTTGTATTTTAAGAACTTTATAATGACTGAAGGAATGTGTTTTCACAATATTATTTGGTAAAGCAACAGATTGTGATGGGAAAATCTGTTTTCTGTAGGTTTTATTTGTTGCATACTTTGACTTAAAAATAAATTTTTATATTCAAACCACTGATGTTGATACTTTTTATATATCCTAGTTACTCTTAAGATGTGCTGCCTTCGTAAGATTTGGGTTGATGTATTTTACTGTTAGCTCTGTAAGACGTAGTGTAGTGTAATATTAGGGAGTAAAGTTCACTTCTACATAAACTGCAAGTCTTATTAATAAGCAGACATCTGGAATAGAGCTTGAATAATTAGTGTAACTTTTTAATTTCTCCTGGTCAGCACTGTAAATATAAAGCCTAAAGATGAGTTTAGGTGGCTTCAGCAGTAAAAATTCAGCTAATTCTATATTGTTTTTCAAATGTCATTTATCAGGCACAGTTCTGAAACTTTGATGATTAAGAGTTACCTGGATTTCTGAATATTCATAATTGTAGGGAAGGGCGAGTTGGGAATTGAAGTGCTAGCCCTAGATTTTAGAGTAAAATCCCCTCAGCACTTGGCCGAAGTACCAAAAACGTTTCCCGAAAATGAAGAGTTGTAAGTTATCTCAAGATGTCTTAGAGTAGGTTAAGTTTCTCAGTGACAAGAGAATTGAGGTATTTACTGTGGAGTATACTTCTCACAGATATACTTTCAGTTTCTTACCCAATAGAGTATATATGGTTTTTAAATATCTGTGTAAGTGACTACATCAAAACATGTAAGAGACAAATCTGTGTTATATATCCTGCAGTTGGACTTTGCATCTGGTAACAGCTTGGGAGTTTGAGTTAAAAACACTATATGTAGCAAGGAAAAGGTGCTTTTTTAATTTTATCACTTTGATCAGTATGGCTTTTCTTTTCCAAATTGGCTAATGGATCAAAATGAAACCTGTCAATGTGAATTCATTTATTGAACTTGTTACTTGTTTTGCTAGAAATGTTCTGTAATAAATGTCAATGTGGGAGATAATAGTATGGTGTCTGTCCTAGAATGTTTGTGTTGGTTACTGACTATGAAATTTAGAGAGTACTAAACGTGTCTAAAGGTAAAATTTAGATGAAGTATCAAGTTTCTGGTATTAGAAAAAAATTGAGTATTATAGTCTTATGTATGTGGAGCCTGCTGGCTCTCAGCAATGGTCTGTTTTGGGGGAGGGATTCATTCTAGGCTTTGAATCCTCTACTGCTTAGCCACACCCCCAGCCCAGTGGTTATTCTCAATGTCTGCACCTAACAGCTACTTAATGATTTTAAGTTTTATGTGCTTCTCTTTTTCAGTGGTGCCTTCTTAAAATCTTCAAGCAGTGAAAGTATGTTAGAAAGAGGCTAATTTTTCAAATTTTTATTTGATTTATAAAATTCACATTTTTAAAACATTACAGGATAAAACTGTTAATTCATTGGCACCATGACAGCATCATTGTGTTAGTAGTGGCTAGGTAAGATGAATGGTCTATGCAGTTATCATGAAAAGTAAAAGTAGTGTTCAGTACATAACCACAAAGAAAGAATTAGGAAAGTTGTTTTTATTTTTTCCTTTTGTGGCCCTGGGGATTCAACTTGGGGCATTCACACTGAGCTATGTCCACAGCCATTTTTTATTTTTTTGAGACAGGGTCACAAAGTTACCCAAGACTGGGAGTGAGCTTGTGATTTTCCTCCCTCAGCCTCCCAGAGTGTTGGGATTACAGGCATGTGCATTCCTGGCTTGAAAAGTTTTTTAAACAGAAAAATCTAAGTTAGTATCAATGGCTCTTAAGCCATAAAAGCTGACTCAAGAAAAACATACAAAGCATAACTACATATCATGGTTTACATGCTAAATAAAGTAACTTAAATTAGAATTTAAACCTCCTAAGATTTGTTTGAAACATCATAAAAACATCTATTTGAAAAGTTACATGGACTTGTTTTCAGTGATCATAAAAATGTTAATCTATTCTGTCAATACAAAAAGGTTCAAGAATATAATTACATCTCTTCGGTCAGTATACGAGAAAGACAGTCTAGAAATTGAAGTCAGATCATCAAGTTGACCTCAAAAACTGACTTGAAAGTGAATGCGTTCTGGGTTCTGGACAAAATAGATCTTCAGGTAAAATAGTGGTTTTAAACTTCAGCAGTTTAGAAAGTTAAATCTTAATGTAACACTCAGGAAAAGGTGCTACAGAATGAGTGCTTGGGAGCAGGGACGCAACTGTTGTTACTAAATGGAACACTGAAATGTCTCATTTCTATGTCTTGCAAAACTAAAGGGCATGGCAAAAAGGAAGACCCTGAATGGTGGTGATGCTGCGATCATACAGGGTAACAACTGCAGGTTAAATTCTAGTGCTATCAACAGAGTAACTAGGTTAGTGTTGATTAATCAGTGAAGTAGGTTAAGTGTGTTTCACGGTAGGACAGAACCACATCATCTACCCAAGACCCTGACGAGGTGCTGGGCAGGCAGGGGACACTTGCTGAGGACGTGTACTGCAGCAGCAGGTCATTTCAGAGGTGGTTCCTAGCAGCTACTTCAGCCGGTGAAGTGAGAGACATTTGTCAACTGCCATCCTGTGTAATGCCAAAGGAAACATTGTAGTTTTTTTGTTTTAGATGCTCAGAGATGAGCATCTACGCCACCCCATCCCACCCTAGTACACGGGACTGAACTCGGCTTTTTGTTTGTTTTTCTGGTACCGGGAATGGAACTTAGGACCTTGCGCTTGCCAGATAGGCATGTGCCACTGAACTAGATCCCCAGCCCGTGAACTTGGCCTTTACACAGTCTCAGTTTTATTTTAAGGCAGGGTTTCACGTGTTGCTCAGGCTTGGCTCAAACTCGTGATCCATATGTCAGCCTTCCAGAGTACTAGGATTACAGGTGTGTGCCACATGTGTGGTTTAGCAGGGAATATAGGCCTGTACGTCCCTGCTGCTGATCCCCCAGTGGTTTCTGTACTATCTTTGAATTACACTACCTGTTAGAGATTGGCATGAGGGAAATCTGCAGTTGACTTAAGAAAGGGACTAGCAAGCACAATAACCATTTTTAGGAAGGGCCAAAGTAAATCCTGGAGGGTAAAATACTAGCCTCTTCTATTGCAAAACGGGAAGGGAGAAGACAAAAACAAATTGGAATCTTACCAGAATAACAAATCTGTTGAATCACAATGTTAATACTTCTAAAAAGTGTGCGTTTCCAATCTTGGATAGCTGCGAAGCTTTAAAGTGCAGTAAGAGAATTAGGCACTGTCAAATGCCAGCTGGACAGGAACGAGAATAATGTGAGCCGCACTGTGAGGCAGCTCGGAACATAAGGCAGGTGTATGCAGGGGAGCTGTGCGGCCTGGCAGCGGAGAGGGCACAAGGGTGCCCCATGTGATAATCACATGGCGTCATTTCAGAGCATGCTGTGGGAGACTGGGTAACTGGGCAAGTTCGTAACAAATTCTACTGTGCGTCGTTGCTGTGAGCTACGGAGAAGGGCACAAGCACCGACTCGGCTGCTGAAGAAGGGCTGTCTGGATGCAGAGTCCAAGTGGTCAATGACCTTGGTCAGTCACAGGAGCCATGTAGGCCGTGGGCCGGTTGAGTCAGGGCAGGGTGGACGAGCAGCTCTGAATGAGCAGCGCGTGGCAGGAGTCACAGACTCGCACCGGCTTTGGTGAGGAAGGCAGAGGCAGCTCGTTGTCGGAGCAGGCGTTACAGAAGATCTCCCCACAGTTCCTGCAGTGGTGCTGCTCCAGGGAGAGATGAGACAACCATTAATACAGTTGGAAGCCATTTTTATACTAAAAGCTTTTGACTCCCTGCCTCCTTTACCTTTCTCTTAGAGAGTGAGAACTCCTTTTCACAAAGCTTACAATGTGTTGCTTCTTTATCTTTCAGCCAAACGAGTCCCTGTAGTAGAAGAAAAGTGAGTACACATGTTCAAAATGGCAACATTAAAAATGACATGTGAGGCCAGGTGTGGTTATGCGCCCCTGTAATGCCAGCCCTTGGGAGGCTGAGGGGATGGCCACAAGTTTGAGGTCAGCCTGGAACATGGTGAGGTTCCTGTCTCAAGAAAATTTTGTCCAAGAACATTTTATAGCAGTAGATTGTGAAAAATCCAAAACAAGAAGCTGGGCATGATAGTGCACACCTGGAATTCCACCACTCTGGAAACCTGAGACAGGAGGACTGTAAGCTAAGCGAGACCCTGTCTCAATAAAGGGGAATGGGAGGCTGAGGATGTGGTTCAGTGCAAAGGCCCTGGGTTCACTCCCCCAGCACCGCAGTGGGGAAAGAGAGGACACGAGAGAAGCAAGACACCAATGTGAAAGTGAGCAAAACTCTACATCCATCCTGTTAAGGAAAAACTGATGAATCCAAAGCAAACTATGTATGTGCCAGGCACAGTGTCAAACGCCTATAATGCCAGCACTTGGGAGGTCTGAAGCAGGAGGATTACTGCAGAGTTTGAAGCCACCCTGGGCTATATAGCTAGACCCTGTCTCAAAACAACAACAAAAAGCAAACTAGGGCTGGGAATTTAGCTCAGCAGCACAGCACCTACCTGGCAAGCGCAAGGTCGTGAGTTTGATTCCCGGTACGGGGGTGGGGGTGGGGTGGAGGAAGCAAACTATAGGTCATTTAGAAATAAGTCCTAGTAGACCAAAATAACTGAAAGCAGCTCTCTTGGGGCAGCTGGTTATAGGGTGGGTAAGGGGCAGGGAGTGAAGAGTTAATTTTTGTTTACTGAGTCTCTTTAGGACTCTGAAGATTATTTTCATGGAACACTTTAATGAAAACTGGGTAGTAGGGTGGGAAATGTCACTAACGCACTTACCCTGCACTCTGCTTTCTCCTGTATCATGGAAGGGATCTGTGTGATCAGCTGCACTGAGCCGCATACTGAAGAGTGCACCAGCCATGTCCACACAGATTAACCTACTCAGGGTTGAAAGCAACCCCAGAGACTCCCAAGATTATTTAGGAAGAGGAAACAGCCTCAGTGAGGATGTGCGACTTGCTGCAGGTCACACACTACAAACCACTAAGTAATAAACTGACAGGAACTGAAGCACTTTCAACTCTTGTCAAGTCACACGGTAGGGCAGTAGTGGCAAACCTATGGCACTCGTGCCGCAGTAGGCTGTTTATCACTGAGAGATCTGAAAGGTTCGCCATCAGTGCTGCAGGGAAAAAGGATCAAGATTCCAAGGCTGACCTCCAGCAGGAGATGATACCAGTGACACACCAGTAGAGGTGGAGGAAGACCAGGCCCAATTGCTGATCGCCTGTTAGATGCTGCTGCCTGGGGACTTGTTTGTCATGCAGGGTGTGAGCAGGGCAGGCAAGCTCTCCACCTCGGAGCTGCGCAGCCGGCCCTGCAGTGAGTGCCCTAGGATTATACAAGGCTTGGCTTTATGTCGAGAGACATTCACATAGAATTGCATGCTTTTGAGAAAGCATTTTCTACTTACCTGTAAGGCTTTGTTAGCTTCTTTTATATCTTCTATTTTAAGTTTGGATCTAAAAAGATTAGAAACAGGCCCACATTTTAGTACACATTGAAATACAGAACGTCCAGTAATTCATTAGAAAGGCCTGGCTTGGCGCTGGGCACGGTGAGCCCCAGGAGCACAGTGCTACGGACTGAAACACTGAGCTTCACCTTTTGAAAATAGAAGGTTGACTAAAAGATACCATGAATATTGAAAGTTTAAAAAATGTAAAAGACATTGCCAAGAAGGATGTGATGACTGTTGGAAGTGAGGGAATATATTTTGAGTATAATTTTGCGAGGGACTAATAACAGGTATCTTTTACTGTAATACATCTTTATTTATTTATTTTTGAGACAAGGTCTCGCTGTGTAATCCAGGCTAGCTTGAATTCACTATGTAGCCCAGCCTGGCCTCAAACTCATAGTGATCCTCCTGCCTCAGCCTCCCAAGTGCTGGGATTACAGGCATGCACTACCACACCCAGCTGTAATAATTTTAAAATGTAAACCTTCACAACATTTTATAATCATCCCTCCTGATAAAACATTTACAGCATAAATTCAGTCAAAAACATTATGGTGTGGCCAGGCATAGTGGCACACACCTGAAATCCCAGCACTTGGGAGGCTGAGGCAATAAGATTGCCTTGAGTTCAAGACAAGTCTGGGCTGTGCAGCGACCACCCTGGACCAAATGGAGAGATCCTGTCTCAGAAAACCAGAAAGAAAAAGAGAAGAAAAACTCTTCCCTGTGTTTCATTACTACTTCTTCACAGTATGTTCCCACCTCATTTAAAATAGTATCTAAATGGCCTACAAAGCCTAAAGCCAGTTAGAAAACCATGATTAGGAAGGCTGAGGCAGGAGGACTGTGAGCTGGAGGCCAGCTTAGCTACTTTTTTTTTTTGGTCATTTTCAGACAAGGTCCCACCATGCAGCTCAGGCTGGCCTTGAGCTCATTTTGTAGCCCAGGCTGGTCTCAAACTCACAATGATCCTCCTGCCTCAGCCTCCTGAGTGCTGGGCTTACAGGCATGCACCACCACACCCAGCCTAGCTACATATTAAGACCCTGTCTCAAAAGACCAATAAAAGCAATGCTCTACACTAGGGATCTAGTATGCATAAGGCCCTGGGTTCAATCCCCAGCACAAAAACTGAGTCAACCTCAGTCAGTGCCAAGTTGGTTTTTTTTGTACCAGGAATTAAACTTAGGACCTTGTACTTGCCAGGCAGGTGCTTGCGCCACTGAGGTACATCCCTGGCCCCAAGTCCAAGTTTGTAAAGAACTCTTCTTGCTACTGTGTGGTAGGGAGAAATGTGCCTTTGTGCTTACTTCAGTGTGACTGCAGGTGTGAGGAAGAAGACACATCCGCACACCCACCCTCCAGGATCCCACTGCATGTGCAACCGGGGCTGAGCCGGGGCACCTAGCGCTGAGCTGAGCCCCCCAACCCTTTTCATTATTTTAAGAGTCTCAAAAGGCTGGTATCAAACTTGTAATCCTCCTACCTGAGCCTCCCAAGTAGCTGTAATTACAGGCATGTACCTATGCACCCAGCTCTAATACATATGCTTAAGTAAAACCACCTCAAACTACAGAAGAACAGCATACAATGGACTACACCTGGGTTCAGTATGCACGTCAGCACTTGTCTGTAATTCTGTACCTCTTTTGTGGCAGGGCAGGAGTTTGTTGAGACAGGGTCTTGCTATGCAGTTCAGGCTTAAACTCACTATGTAGCCCAGTTTGGCTTCCAATTTGCAGTGATCCTCCTGCCTCAGCCTCCTGAGAGCTGAGATTACAGGCACGCACCACCATGCCCGGTTCTAATTTTGTACCTTTTTTGTGCAAAATTTTCTAATCATAAAACATCAAAGATGTTATACCTTTTATAAAGGTAAATGGATTATGGGCCACTGTACTTTTCAATTTGTAGTTATCCATATCCATAGAAGTGAATTATTTATAAATGTGTTAACAGCACCAAACACCTGGTCACACATCAGGTTTTTCGAGACAAGGTCTCACTATTTAGTGCAGACTGGCCTTGTATTCACTATGTAGCCCAGGCTAGCCTCTAATTCACAGCAATCCTTCTGCCTCATCCTCTCAAGTGCTGGGATTACAGGTGTGCACCACCCCACCTGGCTTATTTTTTAATCTAACTTTATTGTTGTTTTTCTTTAATTGGTCCTATCTTTTTCTTTAAAAAGTTTAAGTATTTAAACTTTTCTGCCTAATTGGTTTGATACATTCATTCTTTCATAAGATTTAATGACTACTTAAAAATAAATAAATACATAAATAAGAGTTAATGACTACTTAAAGGAAAAGGGAAATTACTCGCTAAGTTTGTTGCCGAGTTCTTGAAGAGCTTGTTCTTGTTCATGATATATTTTCTTCAACTGCTGATTTTCATCCTGAAGATTAAGGAACTCCTTGAAAAAAAAAGATAGAAAATGCAATTTAAAAGAAACAATCCAGTGCATATATACCATTAATTAGGAATAAATCAATACCCTTTATAAGAAACAACTACGGCCCAAAGCCCCTTCCTACCTGCTGTTAATGTTTTCGTACTTAGACAGGGTTTCCCTTTTCTTAGTACAGGCCTTGAACTCACTCTGTAGCCCAGGCGTGGCCTCTAACTTGGGGCAATCCTGCCTCCACCTCCTGAGTGCTAGGACTGCGGGTGTGCACCACTGTGCCCAGCCTCACTACCTCCCCGCTGTATTAACTATTTTCTGTTCATTTAATCTCCTTCCTACACGCTCAGATGAGTACTGCGCACTGTTTCCCTGTACAAATGTAAATCATATAATTCTCTCTCTAAATAAGCTAACATTTGTTAATGTAACATTTCAGGTCGTCCCACTCTTTACTTTTTTAAGACTGACGATCTGTTGGGTCTGGTTTCTGAGGTGAGACGAGGCGTCCTTCTCCCTCTGAAGGTCCTCCTGCAGCGTCTGCCTCCACTCCTTCTCAATCTTCAGGTCGGTTTCCAGCTGCACCCTGCGAGGACAGCAGCACAGCGCTTGGCACCGCCCCGCCCCGAGCGCTCCCCCTGCGCTGGCCTCGGCAGCGCCTTCCGCAGGAACCGCAGGTGGGAGTGTTTTCGGTGGACGCGGTCAGCTGTACAGGGCCTTTGCCAAGAGCCCCGGCTGGACAGCCACCGCTGCCTTGCCCTCCCGCCCACGCGCCGGCGCACAGGAACGGCGCGTGCGGCACCTGTTCAGAGCCCCGTGTCCTGCGAGGAGGAGGAGGACGGCAGCGATGGGTGGAATTCAGGGCGGGTCTCCGCGCTTTGTGGGTTTTTTTTTTTTTAACAAATAACTAGTGAAGATTATTCATGATAATTACAGCAACTGCTAATTCATTTTGATATCAGCAATAGCAAAATCAGTCCCCGTACCAGTTAGCATTCGAAGTTGATCGGTGAGGAAAGTCTCAGCTACCTGACAGTGACGCTCAGGAAAGCACTCTGTCGCCTGGCAACAGGGCCCAGCTGGCCAAATTCAAGTCCCACCTTTGCTTTTTGGTTTGTTTTTTTTGAGTGAGGGCCTCATCATATGACCGGGGTTGGCCTCAAACTTGTAATCTTGCCTCTGTCTCTGAGGGCGGGGTAACCTGTGGGCACCCCAGGCCGGCTGGGGTCCTGTGTTGCAGACGGACCCCTTCGAAATGTGTGCATTATAATGCTCATGCGTGGGAATTACAAAGCACATATTCTAATACTGTGACAGTTTCTAATAATTCATAATAATTAGATCTCATTAAGCTATCACAGAATCACAATACCATTTTAATATTTTTGTTATTCTTTTTGTTACTTATTGTTTGTTCATAGCTAGCCATTTCAATCTACAGTTACATATTTCCTAGTGGAATATATTTTAGATTTTATTTTACTTATTGCAGTCCTGGGGATTGAACCCAGGACTTCTGCACTGAACTACACACCTTTTTTTTTTTTAATTTTAAGACAAGGTCTCATCTCAGTAAGTTGCCCAGTATCTTGGTTACTTTTCTCTTGTTGCTCTCACAACATACCTGACACTCAAAGTTAAAGGGGTAAGGTTTATTTAGCTCACAGTTTTTAGAGGTTTCAATCCATAATCAGCTGGCTCCAAAGCAAGGTGGTATCATAGAGGACAAACAGTTCATGTTGGGCAGAAGGAAGCAAAATAAGCAAGGGACCTTACTGTATCTTTCTGCTCCTTTTGTCTTTTTTTTTTTTTTTTGTACTGGGAATCAAACTCAAGACCTCACACTTGCCAAGCAGGCGCTACACCACTGAGCTAAATCCTTGGCCTCTACCACTTTTATCTTATCCAGGCTACTCAGGGCAGGTAGCACTCACACTCTTAATCCCAGTGCCCTTGAACCTAGCATTGAACCATGAATCAGTCCCAGCATCACACACCCTAGATCAGCCACCTCTAAAAAGGCCTCACCTATGACTGCATGAGTCTTTGTGGGGACATCTAGACATAAGCCATACCATGCAGGCTGGCTTTGAACTTGTAATCTTTATGCCTCAGCCTCCCAAGCAGCTGAGATTATAGGCATGCACTATTGTGCCAGCTTAAACTTTAGATTTTATAGTTCAAATCAAGCTAGGCATTGCACATGCCTACTATACCAGCTATATGGGAGGCCGAGGCAGGAGGATTACATGTTCATAGCCAGCCTAGGCAACTTAATGAGCCCTTGTCTCAGAATCAAAGGACCTGGGATGTAGCTCAAGCAGTAAGTGTGTGCTTAGTGGGTGTGAGGCCCTAGGGTCAATCTTTAGCACCTTTTTTCTTTTTTTTTTTGGTGCCGAGAATCAAACTCAGGACCTCACACTTGCTGAGCAGGCTCTGTGCCACTGAGCTAAATCCCTGGCCCTCCAGCACCTTTAAAAACAAATAGTGCACAATAAGAAAACCCCACCACTTTTCTATATTCATGTGAATATATATATTTAATGGTTTTCATTACTTTTATTAAAAATGGAATCATTCTTGGCAACCTGTCTGCAAACTTATTCTTTTAAACTCAGTGTCTTATACTGACATCCTTCCTAGTTGGGGCTACATAGATCATATAAAATATTAACAAAAGTGTTCTCAGAAAACTGCATATTCTGTGATGATATAAAGTCCTTGTGGTTATAAAAGCTTATGAGGGTACCCGGGATTTAGCTCAGTGGCATAGCACCTGCCTGGCAAGCATGAAGTCCTGAGTTCAACTCCAAGTACCCCCAAAAGAAGTCTTACGAAGGCTGGGGATGTAGCTCACTGGTAGAGTTCTTGCCTTGCATGCACAAGGCCCTGGGTTCAATCCCCAGCACCCCACACATAAAAAGGCTTATGAAAGCTGAGAATGGAGGCACACATCTGTAATGCCAGACTCTGGGAGGCTGAGGCAGGAGGATGGCAGGTTCAATGCCAGACAGGGAGAACCTGTCTCAAAATTTTAAAAAAGGGCCAGGGATGTACCTCTGCATGAGGGCCCTGAATTCAACTACAAGTACTACCAAAACCTCCACAAAACCTTATTATACTCAATACCTAATGGCTAACAGGTTAATGTTAGTAACACAAAGAATAAAATTTTCCTACAGAAGACAGCAAGGGGAAGGTGACAGTGCTCCGTAAATAATAAATGGAATAAAAACATAAGTAAACACAAAATACATCATAATTATATTTTCTGTGTGTGTGCATGTATATGTACACACTTGGTCAGAACCCAGGGCCTCTTGCACACTGGGTAAGCACTCTACTGCTGAGCTATATTCCCAGCTCAACCTTTTTTGATCTTCAAAGTGGATACCCTCACTGTCACCGTCAGGTACTATACCAGTCCATGCGCAAAGCGGGGGTGGGGCAGGCACACTCACAGCTGCCGCTCCTTCTGCACAATCCGCTGCTGCAGGCCGGCCGACTTGCTCAGACACTCCTGCAGGTACTTCTCATCCTCGCCTTCTGCTTCCATTTGCGCCCTCTCTGCTTGCTGCAATCTGGTGTAATTCAAATCAACTTTGGGTAAAACTGAGGCTAGAACTAGGGTGTAAAAGGGTGAAGAAGACAAATAAAAGAAAAATGGGGAAATAGAAACATTTCTAAATGAAAACAAAGTTTGGGGGAAAACTCACAAACTCAAATGTGAAAGAGCCACACAATGTCTAGAAATTGTTTTGTGATTTTTTTTCAACACAACATATAATATGCCCAGAATACTATCTTCAAATTTGTTTATTTCTTGCTCATGATTAACAGTGCAAAGCAATACAGACTTTACAATTATCTGGAGCATAGTGAACAAACTCCAAAGTATAATAGGTATGTTACTGCCTTTTGAAACGTAATGTGTGTGTTTAACTAGGCCAAGAGGCCACCTGGTATTTGTTATGCAAAGATATGTAAGCCAGGAGTCAGATGGCTAAGGGCCGAGCAGAGGCCTCCAGTCACTCCAAATAACAGCAGCGTCCTTCCTACGGCACCGTTACGCATTTACTAAATTATGCCAAAGCTCTGTATATGTCTCTGTGTGTACATATACATGTGTATAGGTGTTTTTAACATTCAGAAAGAATTTGGTGCTATTTGGCATCATTTTTTAGAGGTCATTTTTTCCCTCAACGCTAAATATTAAAGATTAGCTTAAAAACGTGATTTTCATTTTTTCTGTTTTTATTTGCAAGTCATTGTTTGTCCCAGGGCTTAACTCCACTCTCTGCCTTCACTGGCCATCAATATTTCTGGCATTTAACTTCAATATTTTATAAGAAAATATTTCCCAAGATTCAGAAGACATTGATTCCTTAGAGGGAATTGCAAGGGACATTTCTGTTCAGCTAACCCACAGTCCTGCCTCTTCCTTTCTGCTTATAATCAGACTCATGGGGCAAACCTCACATATTTCAGGAGTATAAATGCTGCTTTCAAGGAAAGGAGATTAACACTTAACGTGATCTCCAAGTTTAAAATTAAAATTAAAATGTTAAGGCAGTGGGGGGGACCCAAACTTTTCTCCTAAGGTCACAGAAAGTAAAATAAAGAGTGAGGTAGGCCTTGAAGTTGTGCTATCCTGGACGAGGGGAAAGGGAGCTGGGACCTGAGGGCCTGAAGCACAGCATGATGGCCAGTTAGGGTCAGAAACGATCTGAAAACATATTAAAAATATCCGTGACGGAATTCTTAGGCAAGGAGCAGGCTAGGGTGGGCTCAGGAGAGACGTGTGCCAACACATGTGAAACCAAAGGATAACTTATTTTTAAACAATTTTTGTATTTTCCATCAAAAAGTAGCTAAAAAAATAGAACTGCATTTGGAAACCAGACCTCCAAATGGTCACTGCTGCCCTCAGCCCTGGGAGCGAGGTGTGAGGAATGTGTTTTTGGAAACCCAAGTGCAGCTTGGCCCGCGGCAGTGTACTGCCCAGGCAGCCGGCTGAGAAACCCGCGGGGGTCTCCTGCATCAGTTCTGTCTGTCTGATCTCCTGGCAGAGTGTGGGTTTCCCTTTAGCCTGCTTAGATGCGAGTGGCTTTCAGAAAGAGATGTCCTTGACCAGCTTGTACTGGTCCTGAGTGTCGCTACCAGCACACTTCACCAATGACATTGCAATCGTCCTAGTCTGAGTTAACAAATCATTGTCACTTCATGATGGAATGGACAGAAATCAAAGACAGAAAAAGGTAATAAAGATGTCCAAAATGTAAAAATGGGGATAAAGAAAACAAAAAAGAAAAAAGAAGAAAGAGGATGTCAATAAAAGAATATTCATGTCAATAAAGCATTAATAGTTATGTTTTTCATAGGTAGATTCAAAGAAAGCAATGGGAAGACACATGTTGACATCAACATGACAGGGCAATGGAATACATTACACTTTCCAACGATAAAAGTGAAAAATGCCAATATAAAACGATTCAATTTAAACAACATTGTGTCTTGGGTTGGGTTGAGGGACCTGGCTCGAAGAAAGCAAACTAGACTGCTTGTTGAGGACGCCTGACTTCAGATGTGGAGAGGGTGAGTGGCAAAGGGTAAGGTGATCAGCACACAAGGAGATGATCAGGGACAGCCCACCATGAATCCTGTCCATGTGTAATTTTTCCAGGTTTTGTTTGTGTATTTGTTTTGTTACAGATTAAACCACAAGAAATTGCTGACATTAAGCCTTTTTAAAAAAAATCTACAAGATGGTAATTTCAAACAAATCAGACTAATATAAAGCAACTGAAATTCCATGCAACCACCAAAATTCTGCTCAGTTTAAACAAAAACATGTCTTAGTCTGTATCTTCCTAGTGGTTTCTGTGGCAGGCGTCAGAGTTATAAAAAAAATAGGGGAGGAGGGAACAGAAAAAACTCATGTTGGCAGTGCTGTACCTTTGTTCCAGCTGCTTCATGGCTGTAGTAATTTTACTGGTTTTTTCTTCTAGTCGGGAAATTATTTCATTTTTTTCTTTCAAGCCATCTTCAGAACCCTATTTAGAAAAAGGTAAAAGTCACTGTGGTTCTGATTTTTAAACCTGAATGTTTATAAGTTTTCTGCAATGGAATTGTTCCTTTGAAATGAGCAGAATTAATTTGTACATTAAAATAACTATGATATAGTGTTACTAGTGTTCATTTCAAAAATAATAAAGATTTCATTGTTTTTGGAAGACAAGATAAACTCATGTAAAATATGTCATTTAAAAAATTAAATTGTAAAGGACATTGGCAGCAAGTCTACTTTATGGTGACATCACTTTATTAGAAAATTCACAAAGACAATAGAAACACATTTCAATCAAAATGACTACTTTCTAAGGACTACAGTGAATACGGAAGTTTATCAAAAGGCGCTGTACATTTAGATTGAGAGTCTTTCCGAAACAGTCTTTATATTTTCAGCATTAAGAAACAAAGTCAGGCCCAGGATATAGTTCAGTGGGAGAGCATATGCTTAGCATATGCTCCAAATATAATTTAAAAACAAATAAATAAAGCCCAGCACCACAAATAAATTTTAAAAATGCAACACATTCCAACACGAAAAAAAATTCCAACAGGGAGTTTTGTTTGTCCTTTCACGTGTCTTCATTACTTTTTTTGGTGGTGCTGATGATCTAGCCCAGGACCTCATCCGTGCTAGGCAATCTACCACTGAGCTACACCCCCAGCCCACATCACATCTCTTACGCTTCTATCTAGGAAAAAAACAAAGATAACAGAAACTGGCTTTTATAACCAATATGCACAGTTAGAATGGCTTAAAAACCAAATACTTCCTACAATTTTCAATTTATATAAAAATAAATCAGGCTGGGGCATAACTCAGTGGAAATGCATTTGCTTAGCATGCATATGGCCCTGGGTTCGCTTCCTAGCAATGCAAAAAAAAAAGAAACTGTTAGAATTTAGAGTGAGGTGTGGTGGTGCAAGCCTGACATCCCAGCACTCAGGAGGCTGAGGCAGTAGGATCACTGTGAGTTTGAAGCCAGCCTAGGCTACACAGGGAGTTTAAAACCAGCCTGAATTACAGAGCAAGAACTTGTCTCAAAAGGAAAAAAAAAAATTTAGGAACACTGTTTACCTGCAGCTTTTGATACATCTCTATATTGATGGCTTTGACTTCCTCTAGCTGTTGGCGAAGGCCTATTAGGGTGTCCTGCTTCTCATGGATATCTTTCTCCAGCAGCTTCATGGCAAGCTCGATCTCATGCTTCATACTCACTTGTACTGAAAGCTCATTCTCCACATCCTGCAATTCCAACACATCTTCAATTCCCACACCACTCAGGGTGTCAAAATCAGATGCAAGGCAGTTAATGAGAGGACAGACTTTCCACTCAACCACTCCTTAAGTCCACTAATGATAATCAACCCTGTCTCTTACATAATTTTATGTGAGAAAGCATTTTTAGACTCTGTTAATCACCACTATTCTTTTTTTTTTTTTTTTTTTTTGGTTTTTCTCCGGTACCAGGAACTGAACTCACGACCTTGCGCTTGCCAGGCAGGCGCTTTTTGCCGCTGAGCTAAATCCCCAGCCCCAATCACCACTATTCTTATGGTTCAAGTTGTTTTTTTTTTTTTTGGTGGTCTTTTTTTTTTTGAGACAGGGTCTCGCTATGCAGTTCAGGTTGGGCTTGAGCTCATTTTGTAGCCCAGGCTGGTCTCGAACTTGCAACAATCCTCCTGCCTCAGCCTCCCAAGTGCTAGGATTATAGGTATGCGCCACCACACCAGACCTCATTTTACAATCATGGATTGTAACTCAGTTTCTTTTTTTTTCTTGAGACAGAGTCTCACTATATAGTCCAGGTTAGCCTTGAACCCACTGTGTAGCCCAGTCTGGCCTCAAACTCATGGTAATTCTCCTGCCTCAGCCTCCTCCTAAGGGCTAGGATTACCTGTTTATGCCACCACACTTGGCACATAACTTACAGTTTCAAAAACACTTGTAGGGTGGGAGCCTAGAAACTGTGAGAACACACAGGGAGTAGGTTTGCTGTCCCACATCTAAAAAGATAAGGCTGAAGAAGACCTGCAGAGTGCTGCTAAAGTGACTCTAGGGAGTGACCTGCCGTAACTGGGACTCATCGCGCAGCTGGCGCCTGGCATCGCTGTACATCGCGTCTAGCCCCTGCCGAGAGTGCTTGTACGTCTGCAGCTCAGCTTCGACATCCACTCTGGTGACCTAGGAGGAAACACCCAGCGTTTTATGTTACAGTCACAAGCACTGCTAATGCAGCACAGAAGTCGGCAGAAGCCCTGGCCCAGGCTGCTCCCTCTGCCCGCGCATGCACTCACCTCTAGATGCTGCTGTGTTTTCATTAAAATCAACTTATTTTCACTTCGCAATTGATGGTTTTCTTCCTGGAGTTTAATGATGTTATTCTTTGCTATTGCTAACTAAGAATTATGAAATGGACAAGAAAAAATGGAACAACATTTAGTTATATTTGCTTTACAGATTATGTTCATGACTATAAGCAGTAGAAAATAAAACCCTATAACTAGCAAAATGTCTTTTACATTGACAGAAACTTTCATAATAAAAATGGGTTCTTTTATTTTGGATTTCCTTTGTACTATTTCTATTTCCTTTTGTAGGTGAATCACATTATACTTTGTTATTCTTAAACATATGCTTACCATCAGATTCGCACTATATCCTGAATACAAAATGCCTGGGTAAGCACCTAAAAATTATGTGATAAACAATACTGTAAAGACTTGTGTACGACATAAATGTGTCCAAGAAAGTTTTGCTATCTCTGAAAATGTAATGTGTACTCACAGAACAGAATGTCCACATACAGATATGTGCCACCACCCCTGGCCACTGGTTCCTCTCTAAACTTCCTAGGTCTGGATGTGGAATAGGAGCTTGAGGACTGACGCATGGGAAACCACTCTCACTATCAGGTTAGACATGAGTGAGTAGGTGGTCTGGTTCTAGGGCCCAGGATAAAAAGAGGGATCTGAGGAGCTGGGTGTGGTCCCAGCACTGAGGAAGTTGAGGTAGGAGGATCACCGTGAGTTCCAGGTTAGCCTGGGTTCCATAGTGAGTTCAAGGCCAGCCTGAATTATACAGAGAGACCCTGTCTCAAAAAAGCAGGATAAAGTTGACTTGCAAGTAATAATTCCAAACTCCATTTTACTGGGCTATCTCTTAACATGTCCCCACTGACTTGAACCCCTGGTGGGACATGTTGACTGTACAGCTGCCTCTTGGGACAGTCATGCGTGCACAGCCCGTCAGGACTGTGCTAGAACTTCCCAGAGCACCTATGGTCAAGAAGAGGCACTGATTAGGAAGCAGCTCGACACTAGTCCCAGTTAAGAATCTGACCATCAAAATAAAGATAATATTCTTAACTGTAAACATGCAAATTTCCATGTGTTCCCTGGTTTGGAAATATCAGGTCATTTCAAAAAGAAGAATTTAACATGAAGATAGGACTCACTGCACTAAATAACAAGGTCCTTCCTCTGGCCTAAATAATTCTGCAGATATGAAGCAGTAAGTCTTTGGTTTGACAGTTTTTTAAAAACGTATCTTAAAAAGTAACTCTACAAATAGTATTAAAAAGAGTCAAGGTAATTTCTTTTCTTTGTGGTACTGAGCATTGAATCCAGGGTCTCTGTACTAGACTATATCCCCAGCCTATTAAAATTTTTTATTTTGAGATAGTGACTCTCTAAGTCACTATATCACACTCAGTCTGGGGTCAAACTTGCAATCCTCCTGCCTCAGCCTCCCAGGGTGCTGGTTACAGATATGTGCCACCACTCATGGCCAATGGTTCTTCTCTAAATGAGAAGGAGGGCCACTGGATGATGATATCTGCAATGTGGGAAACTAACGCAGAAGGGAGGAGTTTCACCCATGGGAGGGGAGAGGTAGAGGACGGGTGGGCATAATCATGCAGTGGTGCTTATGAAGAAAAATGATCTGACCAGAGAAACAATGGGGACAGAATCATTTTAACAAGGATTCTAACTACTGGTCATTCCACCATCTCATGCAGTCACCCAGATTTTAAAAGGAGAATCACAGCTTATGTACAGAAGAGTCTACATGAGTTTCCTCTCTGGGGACTTGTTTCTATGATAATCTCAATTAACAGTATCTCACTGAGAGTTTGCCTAAGAACATGTAGCTTCTCTAGAACTTATGATCATCCATTACAAGCATTCCATTGTAATGAGAAAGAGAGACAGAGACAGAGGGGAATCAAGCCCACACTTAATGAATTCATTCTTTCTTGTGTATGTGTGTCAGGAATTGAACTCAGGACCTTGCGCCTGCCAGGCAAGCAAGCACTTGTGCCACTAAGCTATATCCCCAGCCCGAATTCATTCTTTTTGTTGTTGTTGTCTTTGAGACAAGGTCTCGCTATGCAGTTCAGGCTGGCCTTGAGCTCACTTTGTAGCCCAGGCTGGTCTTGAACTTGCAACATTCCTCCTGAGTGCTGGGATTACAGGTGTGAGCCACCACACCCGGCTCAATCAATTCATTCTTAAAATGGAAAAGGATGACAAGTAGTAGGTCCATGAAAAACAGTTACAGGGTGACAATACCTCTTCAATCAGCTTAGTGTTTGACTTTTCTAATGAGTCAACTCTTGAATGGAGGCTGCTGACTGTGCTGCTGAAATTAACAAAGAGAAACTCATTCAGAACCCTGCCATCTGGCAAAAGTAACACAAGTTACCATCCAGGACTCAAGTGAGTGGCGTGCACTAACCACCCTCAACAGGTTTCTGGCTGTGGAAAACTTTATTCACTTGCATAATCTGCTGGTTAGAACAGCAAAGAAGACTACAAGAAAAACTCCACTTGGTGCTGCTCATTACTCACTGTCCTCTTGGGATCGTTCTTAATATCTGAGAACAGAAATTCTATGCAAAGATTCTTGAATATTGGGGTTTTTTTTTTGTTTTTTGGTACCAAGAATCAAATTTACAACCTCATGCTTCCCAGGCAGGTATGCCACTGAGCTGTATCCCTGTTAAAATTATATTTTAAATTTTTTTTGTCTTTTTGAGACAGGGGCTCACTATGCAGTTCAGGCTGGCCTTGAGCTCAATGTATAACCCAGGCTGGTCTTGAACTCACAACGATCCTCCTGCGTCAGCCTCCCAAGTGCTGGGATTACAGGTGTGCGCCACCAAGCCTGGCTCTAAACTACTTCTAAAAGGATGAAATTTAAATATATATTGTCAGCATGCATCTTAAATAAGCATATAAAGAATGGCCTTCAATCCAAGTCACAATCTGTTTCCCTATTTCATTATAACTTAAGACACTTTCAAAGTCACTCATAGCTTTAGAAATATGAATGAAACACCTATCATTAGGTACAGGTCAGCTAGACACCCTGAGTCCCAAGAATATACTGTCAAGTCAAATAACATCATATAAACACATTTTGGTTTTTTATATTAACCAAAAGTAAACATTATTTTTTTTTTCTGGCTTTTTTGAGACAAGGTCTCACTATGTAGTCCAGGCTGGCCATGAACTCATGATGTAGCCTAGGCTGGTGTCAAACTCATAGTGTTCCTCCTGCCTCAGCCTCCTAAGTGCTGGGATTATAGGCATGCACCACCATGCTAGGCAAAAACAAACATTATTATACATGTTGGTTGGTCTGTTTCCCAAGGCCTTCTTATACTACTCTCAAAAACTTTCCTCAATAAAATGTAATATGCTTTATCACAGCATTATACATAATAAAACAAAGTTTATACCAGCTTCAGAAAAAGTATTGGCAGTTTAGGTTGGTAAAATAAAAGCTTTTCCATTCACATTACATCATTTTGAAAAATATGAACACTCTTCAGACAATAGCTTGATTCCCTTCAACAAGAGCTCCAAGGTGTCCAGACAGTGACACAGACCAGCACAGGACTGGGAGAAGACCAGGTTACAGTCCAGCTCTCTGCTTCCCTAAGTGTGCCACTGTGACAGCTGTGAAGCCCGAGCTTCAGTTTCTTCCCATAACTCTGGATGATGACATCCACCTTACTCTTACATGAAAACCAATACCATGACAGCCAAAAGCCCACTCTGAAGACAAACCTCAACAGTGGTTTTCTTTGAGTAAGGGATAATAGGTGTGTTCTATTTTTTCCTTTTTTTTTTTTTTTTGGTGTTCTATTTTTTCTACCTCTTCATATTTTTGAAATATTCTAAATGTACATAGTAGATTACTTTCTACTAGAAAAGAGTAAAACATTTTATAGTAATGTATGAAAAGTAAAGCACTGGAGCTGCTCAGAGGCTGGAACACAAGACTGAAAAGACAGCGTGAGGGCCTCTGGACTGAACAGAGGGGGCTTGCACACTGCTGAGTGAGACAGAGTGCAGGGAACAGTGCCTTGTACACAACCTCGGGGAGGGAGGAGCCCACGCGGCATAACTGCTACCGTCACACGTGCCCGCGGAGGAACACAGGACTAATGTGCTGTGCCAGGGACCTGTGAGCAGGGGCCCAAAGGACAGAGGTCAGTGCAAAGGGGCGGCACTTCCTGTGTGCTTTAAGTTTGAACTGAATGAAGGTCTTACCTGCTCTCATAGAATGGAAGTTTAAAACTACTATATAAGCAACACAAGGTTGCATTCAGAAATACAACTTGAAACACAAATTATAAAATATACATGTATTTCCCATGATTTCTATGAATTAAAAAAAGGCACTGAGAAAGTCTTTCCAATTTTTATAACTTTGGTTTCTTTTTGTAAATGGGAAAAGGTTTGTTTCTGACTGTAATATGATTTTCTTCGAGAACTCAAAAAATTACAAAGCATAAAATAAAAATTATTACTAGCTATTCATAATCTCAACACCCAGAGAAAGCCACTCTCACTAATTTCTAAATTTAACAGATGTGAACAGCCTGTTTCTGATTACACAGCAATAGTACAGCAGTCACAAACCACCTTTTGCTACACAGCACCCAGACCTGGCCAGTCCAAGCTGCAAGATGCATCATGTGTAAAACATACAGCAGGTGTTAAAGAAAGTACTACCAAAGCAAAATACCTTAGTAATTGTATGTTGATGTTGAAATAATATTTAGGGTACAATGCATCAACTGAATTACTAATTTAAAAATACCGATGTGGTTGGCAGACACTAAGTTCTTCTGTCTCGCATTGTTTCCGTCAGAACTGGCTGCTTCCCATACAGACCCGCACTCCTTGCCCGCAGCTGGCACCAACGGCCCCTAGGACAGGCTGGGAAGTGACAGCCACATCTACACACACAGCCCCTGGAACAGGAGAAATGGGCCTCCAAACCACCCAAATGGCACAAACGTCACCCTTACCAGCCTTTTCTCCCTGGGGTACAGGGACAAGTTTAAAGTTCTACCTGAATTCAGTGAAGGTTCTATTTAAAATCAGATCCTCACTTTCTGCTGAATTCTCTCCAATAATTCTTTGTGTTCTTAATTTCTGTTCTCTCCCCTCAAACCTTTCTCTTAGAAGAAAGGAATAGGGTTAAGCTAAAAAAAAAAAAAAAGCCTAAGACAATATAAATAAATAACTATGTGAAGTACCCACAATACTTACTTGAGTTGTCTATTTAATTCTTCAACATAATTCTTTTGGTCCAAAATGGCAGCAATCTGAACATTCCTGGGGGAGGAGGCACAGGTTTGTGATAGTTGGAAAGGTGAAAAAAAAAAAGCTAAATCATTTAAAACAAAATCCAAGAGTCTTTTTTTCCCTTTGGTATTAGGGATCAAACCTAGGGCCTTCACACTGAGCTTTATTCTCAGCCCTTTTTTTGGTCTTTTTGAGACAGGGTCTTACTATGCATTTCAGATTGGCCTTTTTTTTTTCTTTTTTTTTTTCTGGTACCAGGAACCGAACTCATGACCTTGTGCTTGCCAGGCAGGCGCTGTGACACTGAGCTAAATCCCCAGCCCCTCAGGTTTGCCTTGAACTCACTTTGTAGCCCAGGCTGATCTCAAACTCACAGTGATCTTCCTGCCTCAGCTTCCCAAGTGCTTATCCTCAGCCTTTTTTAAGCCCCAAACCCTGAAGTCACCCAGACTAGATTTAAACTTTCCATCCTTCTGCTTCAGCCGCCAGAGCACTGGGATTACAGATATGAGTCACATACCTGGCTAAAATTCAAGAACCTCTATAATCACTTAGCCCGAAGCTATGTACTAAGTAACTATAACCTCTGTTGAGTAAATTGCTTATTAGTACTAAGCTTAACATATCAGTATATTTTAAATACAGTAACTAGGATTAGCACAAAATATAGCTACTAAAACAGGTCTTGGCAACAGGTGTGGTGGCACATGCCTGTAATCCCAGCACTCAGGAGGCTGAGGCAGGAGGACCATTGCGAGTTTGAGACCAGCCTGGGCTACAAAGTGAGCTCAAGGCCAGCCTGAGCTGCATAGTGAGACCCTGTCTTAAAAAGATTGATCAATCAATCAATCAATCAATCAATCAAATAAAAAACCCCAGGTCTTGTCAAACACAGCTATGACCCAAAGTCCTACTTTATATTAGTCGCCTTCTTTTAACTCATTTTTCCCCATTTGTTCTGTAAAACTTTTAAAGAATATGAAAACGAAACAAAGCAGGAAATTCAGGACACACACAGACACACTGTAAACGAATGGATGTCAAGTCACTCTGTAAAAAGCTGTATTAAAAAGTACAACATGTGAAAGAACTTAGGAAAATCTTACCTTTCTTTATTTCCAATATCTTCTTCATTCTTTAGATACATGGAAAAATCAATCACTCCAACCTGAAGTTAACAAAGTTAGTTTTACTTAAAGGGAGAACTAAAGCCACTAACACCCACCTGAGCTCCACTCTTCACCCCCTTCAGTGTGTGACAGGCGTTCACAGCTCGGAGCAGCCTGCAGCACAAAGACCACAAGCTCTGCATGAGGCACCAGCCACGCCCCCTCACCTGAGAGTCTAAATCCTCTCCCTTCACGCACAGGTTGGCGTCGATCACGTTCAGGCCAACCAGCAGCCCGACGATCACAGCCCCCTCCTCTTCCATCATCAGCGCATGATACTCGTAGAACTCACTACAAAATCAGGAGTGAAAACCTGAAATCACAAAATTATTTCTAAAACTAAATTTTACAATCTTAGTGCGTTATGTTATGGACATGGAAGTAATCAAACAAGTATCTTTGCTTTCTTCTCACATTTTTATTTTTTGTAGTGCTGGGGACTGAAGCCAAGGCCTCATGCTGCGACCCAAGTGTTACCCTGAACTTCATCCCTGGATGTCAGTGTGGTACCCTTTAAATTAGGCTTTCTACAGGCTAACTTTCCAAATTTGAATGTTGACACAGAAAAAGAGGAAAAAGAAAAAGAGAAAAAGAAAAAGGAACTGAAAGAGATAAATGAAGAACTTTTGGCCAGGCATACAGGTATTTTACAGGTTCATGCCTATAATCCCAGCACTCAGGAGGCTGAAGCAAGAGGACTGCCATGAGTTCAAGACCAGCCTGGGCTACATGGCAAGACCCTGTCTCGAAAAAAAGGGAAAGAAAAAAAGAAGAAAAGATTTTTTGAGCAAGAAGAGAAGCAAAGAGGGACTAAAAGAAAAACAAGTGGTGTGGAGGAGAGGAATGGCTGTAGTCCCAGCTGCTCAGGAAGCTGAGGCAGTGGCATCAAAAGTTCAAGGCTGGTCTATGCAACTTAGTGAGACCCTGTCTTTTTTTTTTTTTTTTTTGTCTTTTTGAGACAGGGTCTCGCTGTGCAGTTCAGGCTGGCCTTGAGCTCACTTTGTAGGCCAGGCTGGTCTCAAACTCACAAAGATTCTCCTGTCTCAGCCTCCCGAGTGCTGGGATTACAGGCGTGCGCCACTACGCCCAGCATGAGATCCTGTCTCAAATAGTTTTTAAAAAGGGTTCAATAGTAGAGTCATTACCCATCAGGCCCAAGACCCTGGGTTCAATCCCCAATACTACAGAATATAAATTAAAAATTCGCAACCATGGTAGCACATGCCAGTAATCCCAGCACTCAGCAGGCTGAAGCAGGATGACAGCTGCAAATTCAAGACCAGCCTGGGCTACATAATGAGACTGTGATGCACAAGGCCCTGGGTTCAATCTCCAGCACCAAAAAAGAAAAAAGAAGAAAAGAAAAAGTTACATTAATGCCTAAAAGTAGGACTTGTTGATATATAATCAGAGAAATAGTTACCACTATCTTATGCCACCCTGAATAAGTACCAAGGATATTATTTCATCACTTCAATGAAGCTTGAGATCACTGGCAGATTGTAGGGCTCGAAGTATGGTCATTATCATCTCACAATGGGAAATCCAAGGTGTAAACCCAGAGGTGTGAGTACATGACCATCAGGGCGGTTCCCCAACCATCCTGCCGGTAGCTACTGGAGGGCAGCTTCGGCTCTGAGCTCAGCCTAACACTCAGCCTGCAGCTTGGACTGAGCCGGCTGCGAGCAGTGTCAACGGGAGAGCAGACACGGAAGAAACACACTGGATTAAACCCCCAAACTCCAATGCAGGTCTCTGTCACAGCGTCGACTATCCAGCAGAAGAACAGCAAGAAGCATGACACACAGGCGGACGTCCCCTTGCCGCTGATGGAAAGCTTATGGTTCTTATCTGGGCCCCTTCCTGACCCGTGTTAGACCCCGTCATGTTTTTTCTCTCTCAATTTGCTCCTCCTGTTGTTTTGCACCACCTTATTGTATCTTCTACATCCTTACATTTTACATCTCCAACCCCAGTGCACAGACAGGACTCAATAAAAGGAGCCACGAGGTGAGTGTGGGCGCAGGCACCAACCTCAGGAGATCTCTCTGGAGGATCAGGCAGCGCAGGTAGTCGGCCATTTTCTTTTGCATGAGGGCCAGCCGCAGCCAGGCCCGCGCTCGGCCCAGCGGGGTCCTAGGAAGAAGAGGCCAGCAGTCAGAACATGGCCTTCGTGCTGGGTGAGTCACAGGCTGCCTGTGCAAGCTTTGCTGAGCCACACATTAGCAAAGGAAAGAAGAATTTTGTCAGTTTTGCTTTTCCTTTTATAGATTTCAGCCAGCTTTTTGAGCAAGGAGCCCAACGCCTGGGAGGCAGACAAATCTGCTCCAGTAGAACATCTAAGTAACATTTTAAACTTGGAAAAAATGATTATTTCTCAGTACCTGGGAAGCTGAGGCAGGAGGATTACTGTGAGTTCAAGGCCAGCCTGAATTGCATAGCAAGACCTTGGCTCAAAAAAAAAAAAAACCCAAACAAAACAAAACAAAAGCTACTTTTTACAGGAATAGTAAATGGACTTTTGCGGGGAAGGATGAGCAGCTAAGGAAATGACTTACTTAAGACCTGGTAAATCTCGGACACTGGCTCCTATTTCCTCTGCTTCTGGGTACAACTTTTCCACCAGTTCTAAAGGGCCCCAGATGGTTTTGTTATAACTCAAAAATGATTTTCTTACTGGAAAAAAAAACAACAAAAACCAATGCACACAATTTAAACATAAACAAATGTAGAAACTTCATCTTTAAGATGGAGTCTCAGCATTTCTAACAACGCACCATTACCCAGAGACCTTCCCCATGGCCACCACCACATGGCCCTGTGCATGAGCAGCTGGTTCTGTCAGGATCCTGGAGCCCATACTACTTTTTGCCATGTCAGAAAAACCCATCTCAGCCATTCATCCATGTCAGAAATACGCAGAAAGGTAAATAAAGCCAGGCTTAAACTGCATGCTCAGGCCTGCAATCCCAGCACTCTGAAGGCTGAGACAGGAGGATCGCTTGAGTTCAAAGCTGGCTGGCCTATATAAGCAAGTTAGACCTTATCACCAAAAAACTCCCCCCAAAAACCAACTCACTAAACTTTTCCTTTCTGTTTTTTTTTTGAGACAGGGTCTTGCTATGCAGTTCAGGTTGGCCTTGAGCTCACTTTGTAGCGCACTCGGCTTCCTCTTTGGTTTTTACGTGTCTCAGTTTCAGGCTCTGCAGTCAGAACTTCCAAGCTCTAACTCATCCCAACACGCCAACAACAGCCACGCTTCTGCTCTCTGAGTCACAGCAGCATACAGCTCTCACACAGTCCTCTACAGAGGCTGAGCACAGGGACTAGAGACCAAACCTGCCAGCAAAATTACTGCAAGTAAATATACACTGAACGTTTGTAAGTCAGATATATGGCTGAGGATACCGGTCATGGGTAGAGCACTTATCTAGGATGGACACAGCCCGGGTGTTGATTCCCATTACTGAAAAAACAATATAGAACAAACATTTTACATGAAACAATAACTCAATGAACTGTATAATAGCATGGACTATTCTTTTCAGTAATCATTTACATTTCTATAACATCTCAGTTGAGAAGACACTTTCTCTAGGCATGTTCTTATGCACTTAGGTGATCTCTGCTACAATAATCTACTGTCTCAACGCCATTTGTTCATCAGGGCTCAGACTATTAATATGAGTTCATATCAGAATCACTCAGAACTCGGGAGGCTGAGGCAGGAGGATCTTTGCAAGTTCAAGGTCAGCCTGGGCTACAAAGTGAGCTCAAGGCCAGCCTACACTGCATAGGGAAACCCTATCTTAAAAAGACCCAAAAAACAAAACAAACAGAAAAAAAAAACCCAGAATCATTAAGCTTAAAATTTTAAATACCTGTAATTGTCCTAGAAAATAGAAACCAGTTCAGGACACACATTGAGAAAACTTATTTAATGGGCCGGGGATATAGTACAGTGGCATAAGTGCTTGCCTGGCAAGTCTGAGGTCATGAGTTCGATTCCCAGTACCACAAAAAAAAAAAAAAAACTTATTTATTTTTGAAAAAAAATTAATCAAATATGTATTTTACAAACCAGGCATGGTAGCAAATGCCTTAATCCCAGCACTCAGAAGGCTGAAGCAGGAGGATCACCATGAGTTAGAGGCCAGCCTGGGCTACACATCAAGTTCAAAGCCAGCCTGAACTACATAGTGAAACCCTGTCTCAAAAAAAACAAAATAAAACAAAAAATAAATAAACAAAACAAAAACTAAAACTAATGAAACAATAAAAACTACACATTATCGGAAGATCACCCATGTGAAAAGTAAAATGGTAATATTTCCTTTCAAAATTAACCTACTCAATATTTTTAAATGCAAAATAACAGTAATGAGCCAGGTGTGGTGGCACACACCTATGATTCCAGCACTCAGGAGGTTGAGCCAGAAGGATTGCCAAGGGGTCAAGGCCAGACTGGGCTACACGCTGAGTTCAAGGCCAGCCTGAACTACAGCACAAGATCCTGTCTCAAAAACAAAAACAGCCAGGGATATAGCCCAGCGGTGGTACACCTGCCTGGCAAACGTGAGGTCATCAGTTCAATTCCCAGTACCAAAACCAAATATAACGGTAACTATGACCTCAAAACACACATGTTCAAGAATATCTGAGATAGAAGGGAAGGCATTCCAAGGTGAATCCACGCTCTGAAGCGTCAGCCTACCTTTGAGACCGTGTTTCAGACAGTGCTCCATGACAACAAAGAACTGCTGCAAGGGCGGGTAGTCCGAGTCCAACGTGCGGCCGAAGCTCAGGGCGGATTCAATGAGCCCCTTGATGCTCAATTTAGCCATGTTTAGCAGATTCGCTCTCTCTACAGCTGTGGGGTCTTTTGTAGCTGAAAGCAGAGAAAAGTTGAACATCATTCACAAAGTCTTTTTGAGTTTTGTTTTTGACTATGTAGCTCAGCCTGATCTTGAATGTGCAGTGATCCTCAGCCTCCTGAGTGCTGGGATTACAGACATGCACCACCATGCCTGGCCATTCAAGGTCTGACAATGGAAACTACACACTTATGTCCTCCTCCTAGAAAACCAAGAGCGGTTTGCGGGTCTCCCCAGGCCAAGATGACCCGGCCCTGCAGCCCTCCATCTCACTCACCCCGACCACTGTGAAGGCTGCTACTGAGCCACTCCAGCCACATTTTTAAATTAAGTTTACTGGTACGTTTTAGATATATAATGATCAGCTTCATCACAGGGAATCTGTACCTATACACGATATGTTCTGACTGCTTTTTTTTTTAACCAATCCCCTCTCCTCCCTTCAAAACCCTCTCCCCACCCCCCAACATTTACAAAGGTGTGTTTCCATTGTATCATTTTTTGTTCTTTTTTTTTTTTTTCCAGTAGGGGGAATCAAATTCACAACGTTGCACTTGCCAGGCAGGTGCTGTGCTGCTGAGCTGAATCCCTAGCCCCTGTTCTTTTCTTTCTTCCTTCCTTCTTTCCCCCTTCTTCCATAAAGACACCCAGCAGGAGAATAGCTGTATCAAATGGGACCTCCAATCCTAGTTTTTTGAACAATCTCCACACTGATTTCCACAGTAGTTGCACCAGTTTGCACTCACACCAACAGTGGAGAAGGGCTCCTTTTTCCCCTCAGCCCCTCAGAGGTGTAGGCAAAGATTTCAGGAACAAAATCCCAATTGCACGAGAAATAATACGAAAAATCAACAACTGAGATCTCGTCCTATTAAAAAGCTTCTGCATAGCAAAAGAAATCACCAATAGGGTGAAGAAACAATCCACCGAGTAGGAAAAAAATTTTAGCCAGTTGTCCTTCAGACAAAGGACTTGTACCTAGAATTGATAATTGAAAAAAAAACAAAAAACCAGACTCCCCCAAATGTAAAACCCAATCCAAAAATGGGCATCTGAGATGAATACACACTTCCCAGATGAAGAAATACAAAAGGCAAATAAATACATGAAAAAATGTTCAACATCATTGGTTATTTGAAAGATGCAAATTAAACAAGCTGAGATTCCATCTCACCCCAGAAAGAATGGCTATCATCAAGAAAGCAACCCATAACAAATGCTGGAGAGGCTGTGGGGAAAAAGGAACCCTTCTCCACTGCTGGTGGGAGTGTGGACTAGTCCAGCCACACTTTATGGGGGAGCCTCAGGATTCTGCAACCGTGCCATGGTCCTGACACCTTTCGGGACCTCACATGTTTAGGGACCTCACGCAAGTGGCAGCTAGTAGGTATGGTCTAAAGATGAATTTCAAGCAAAAATGTTCAGAATAAACTGAGAATTTCTAAAAAGGTGGGTAAAGTTTGAAGATGCCAGTGTCACCCATAACAGACATGGCAGGCTGACCAATATTGGGGTACAGAAGGAACTCCCAAACTCTTTCGTCTGTTTCAACCCTTTCTCGTCTTTTTTCCAGTTGGGGTTTGTACTGGCCGCCGCATGAAGTCCTTTGCCATTCCTCATAGCTGAGGATGCCACCATTTCAGTGTGAATAACAGACACATTTAAAGTCCCGATTCTTCCCTGACTCCTGGGGACTGAATCCAGGGCCTTTGCCCTGAGCTACAGCCTCAGTCCTTTTTTATTTTTAATTCTGAGACAGAATTTTGCTAATTCACTAAATTGTGCAAGCTTGACTTAAATTTGCAATCCTCATGTCTCAGCCTCCCAGAGAGCCAGGATTACAGGCCTACGCCACCATGTCAGTCTATACTTCTACTTCATATTTTCAGTTCATAACAATAATATTTTCTCCCTCACATATTTTATTCTTTCAGAAATTCAGATGCTTCCCCATGCTCTCATCACTGTTGTGGCTGGCAGGAATATTTTCAGCAAACACAGATGGCGAAACTGAGATGCAGAAAAATGAAGCCCTTAGAACATCTCCTCAGCTCTGACAAACGCACAGGTGCAAGTAATCGGAGTATTCATTTTTCCTTCACTGAACAAACACCGAGCTCCCCACGACCCGGTATCCCAGCTTGGACTGCTGACAGCTGGCGTGAGGCCGGACACTGAACCCCTGGCAACTTCAAACCCAGCGCGGCTGCTGCGACCCCACACGCAGCGCACCGGCCGTCCGCGAGCGGGTCGGGACCCCCTCCGGGAGCGACACCACCTGGCGCTTCGTAATCTGTGGTGATTCAGTCCGGCGCCCAGCGCGGCCCGGAGGTGGACGCCACCCGCATGCAAA